GGCCAAGACTCCCCTGACAAGGAGAGAGACCTTAATGAGTTCAGTATGTCACCGAAGGGAGAGTGCTGAAAGATATTCGCGGAGGTAAACTCCATGATCGGCGCCCAATCGGATTCGATAGGCACGGGCGCAGGCGGTTGGGAGTCCGTGGCCGGGGAGGAATCCGACAGTTCGGCATCACGGCTCTCATGAAGGGTAAGGTCGATACTCGGCTCGATCGCTGATGAGAGTGCGGCCTCCGTGGCGGGGTCTATCCACCCGTCCATGGATGGCGCAGCTGGTTCTGAATTGAAGGTCGGAGCAGTTGCCGGTGTGATCTCCTGAACACTGTCTGATGGTAGAGCTAAATCATACTTATCGTGACCGTGTGGCGCACAAGGCAGGGGCTCGAATCCGTCGAAGATCAAGTCTCCGCGGATATCGGCCGTATAGTTTGAGCTTCCAAACCTGACCTGGTGGCCAGGGGCGTAACTCTCGATCTGCTCCAGATGGCCAAGCGAGTTGGCCTGCAGTGCGAAGCCGCCGAACACAAGGATCTGTCCGGGGAGAAAAGTCTCACCCTGGACAGCATCGCTATCGATGATCGAAGGAGCCATCAAGCCTAACGGCGATGACACAGAGGAACTCTCAATGAAAGCACCAATGTCGGTGTCAAAACCGGTGGATCTCGGGTAGGGGGTCCCGAACTGTGCGTCTAAGGCGGATGGTAACTGGAGGCAGGGGACACGATGTTTTACCCAGGTTCGGGCCCTCTTGATGGAGGTAAAACCGTACGTCCTGCTTGATTATTCTTGATAATATGAGTAGTGCAAGAGTTGATCTACCACGCGATCGGAGAGGCTAAACCCTAGAAGCTAGCCTATGGTATGATTGTCTGTTGTCCTACGGACTAAAACCCTCCGGTTTATATAGACACCGGAGGGGGCTAGGGTTACACAAGGTCGGTTACAAAGGAGGAGATATACATATCCGTATTGCCTAGCTTGCCTTCCACGCTAAGTAGAGTCCCATCCGGACACGGGACGAAGTCTTCAATCTTATGTCTTCATAGTCCAACAGTTCGGCCAAAGGATATAGTCCGGCTGTCCGGAGACCCCCTAATTCAGGACTCCCTCACCCGGGCTTAGCCGGCATATGTCTCTGGGGACGACGAGGTGGAGGAGGATGGGGGAGGACATCGGCCGGGGCGCTAGGGTTGGCCCCCTGATCGCCCTGGAGGGAGCGATCGAGGGAGCCTGGAGCGATAGGTCTTTTCGACTGTGCTTCTCTTAATCTTCCATCTTCTATGTTTAGTCTCACTGTCAGAGATTGATCCGACGTGCCTACCTTTCTTCTGCCTTTTCGTCAGTGCTTCCTCACTTTCGAACTTGACGCCACTATCTTGTTCTTCTTTCTCATCTTTGGATTCAAATCTTCACTCCTCTGTTGTCCTGCGCTGTGCACTGACTCTAGTTCTTTGCTCGCTTGGTTTGCTTCCATTTCTTCTGACTGCATGATCATCCTCACTTAAATGGCTATGCTTTCTCTTCCTTTTGTTGCGTACTGTCTGGTCAGACTTAGTTTGTGCAGTTTCGGTTCCTTCTTTTAATAGCTTCCATTTTTTCATAGAATGAGGAGATGTCAGTATACGTAATTAATTTCCGAAGCTAAATTCTTCAATAAGATCAACTAGTCAATATGCTATTTACATTTTAGATTCCACTGGACTAGTGATACAACATGTACTGCATATGGAAAGATTGATTACCTGCCTAAAACGTTCACTGTCTCAACAAACATGACATTTTGAAATACATATGATACATTAAGGGCCTATTTGGCAGCTCCGCTCCGCAGCTCCGCTCCAGGAGCAGCCCGCATCCTATTTGCGCGGAGTGGCCAAAGTGGCGCTCCATGTACTCTCGTATTTTGAGGAGCTAGATGAGTGCCGAACAGGCCCTAAGTATCGTGGCGTGCCCACTTTGTGAAAATAGCTATTGGTCTAAATTGCCATTCCCTATAATCCTAGCCAACTAATGTTGGTCCGATGTACTCATTATATGCTGCTGACTTTGTTTGCCAATGTTCATATGCTTCTGCTAAACAAATCCCTAATGGAATCACTAACAGTTAATGTACATATAAACATGAAAAATCATTACCACTCCCATTGTATCATCCATATTGAGGTATCCGTGCGTGTCCATCCATGAGTAGGTGTTATAGTTAGCAACTTTGAGGCACTTCCTAACCCTAGGAATTGCGGCGCGAACAAAAATGCATATGCTGAAAATGTTCATCTGGCAAACCAAATATATGGAACAGAGCAGAGCAGAGACTCCAGTTCCTTACCTCCTTTTTACGGCAGACAATCTAGTATGCGCTGCCAAATGTGGCGATGGTGGCGAGTGGAGCTGATGAACTATGAGAAGCAAATGGCGAGCATGGTCTGTGCTTCTCGGGAGGGGGGGGGGGGTCCTACTACCGAACTGAATGTGTGGACCGCACAGGCGTCTTGCATTCATACACACTCGTGCCGATACGGTATCGTTGTGTACGCCTACACACTTGAGCCCAAGAGTGGGCTTGACTACAATATAAGTACGTTCCAATCTTAGCATCATCCGATGGCAACGAGATACCCGGTAGAAACCGGTTCCACTAGAAAACCCACTCTTCCATAACCCCAAAAAGATAGTGGGCAATCGAGGCGGTCACAACGACTCCATTAGGCCGGTGTTTTCACCATGGTCGGCATAATAACAGTCACTTTAAAGACCGGAAATGAAAACTAGTGGCGCCGGTTTCTACCGGGGTCCTGCATGCTCGCCATGTGTGCAGGTGTACACAATGCATACGAGTACTCTGCTAAAGTACTCTACTGAATTCAGTTGATTTATATTGTTTTCGTGGGACCATCCATTGTATAGGAACATAGCATTTATTGCACTCATACTATTTTACTCTTTCATCCCACGGTCCATCCACCCATACTTTTAATCTGATTCTAAATGTTGTAACACTTTTAACGTTTGAACCAATGATCTGATTTAGAATCCGTTTGCAGATTAGTATTGATGACATTTAAATCTTGAACATGTTTTGAACAAGTTCAAATTCAAATTTGATACCATAATGAAACTCATGTGAAATGTGAGATGATACGACAACGAAACTGAAGTGAAGCAATAATAAAAACATGCAAAAGATAATGTAATAAAACTTATATCAAATCCGAGATGGAACATAGATGAATTGTGGAATGAAACAATAATGTAAATGTATGAATAAATACTTAAAACATGTAAAATTGTGATGATATAAAAATGATATCGTATAGAAACTATGTGAAGAGAACACTTTTAGTGTCTAGCCCAACCATGAAAGATATTTTGACAAAATGATATGAAACTTATTTGAAAGCTCCAAAAATATAAATGAAACCTGAATGAAATAGTACTGAAATCCGGAATGGAAAAGTAGCGCAACCATGTAATGAAAAATAATAATGAAACATGTAAAAATACGATGAAACACACATGCAATAGCTTCATATAAGTTTCAGTATGATTTCATAATCCGAATCTGATTTTTCTTCAAAAGCTTTCAAAATTGATCTCGTTTTGAAGATTTAAATATCATGAATACTAATATCCAAACGCATTGTCTTGGTTCAAAATATATAATCGGTACAACTATGTAATCAAACTGAAAAGCGTGGGTGGGTGAGATGTAACTATGCCGTGGGTTGGTTCAAAAGATGGCATACTGCCTTTTGACCCATAAAACATAGCCACTAGTCATTTTGTTGTGCGGTCTCCTCGCTAGCTGTCCCACATGTCACGGGAAGAAGGTAATATGGTGCACATGTGTCACACAACGCATGGTATAACAACACACAATACATATCCCATGTGTGTATGTGCACATATGGCGTGCACGTAGAACCCCGATAAAAACCGGCACCGCTAGAAAAAACCGCTCTCCTTTAAAGATGGACTGATTTCGGTGATTTGGGAGAGTTGCTCTTATACGCTAGAGCACCCAATATGCCCCCGGCGGTTTGGTAGGAGGGGACCAAAGTGATCGCCGGGCTGAGCTTTATACAGATTTCCTTGTGCGTGAGAAGGGAGGCATGGAGCGTTGCGTGAAGAGCGAATACTCAGCAGTGAATATATTATTAGGTACGATGTGTAAGCAACGTGTGACTTTCAGTGATTCGTTTCCAAAAGACGACACGCCGACGGGCACTCAATCGCCATGCATGCATGATACCATCCCACATGCACACGTAGAGCACAGCACACGGCGGCCGGACTACCCGCGGAGCAGAGCACACTATATATAATGGTATATGTAATGTACATGCTGCTCCGATCGTGCACAGTCAGTGCAGTGCAGTATACACGCTGCGGTCCCAGCCAAGAATCATGACGGTGAAGGAACAAGAAGACCTGGAGTTCCTGTGGAAGTGGCGCAAGTACCTGCTGCTGCTGGCCACACTGGTCGCCAGCGTCACCTACGGCGCCGGCCTCAACCCGCCGGGCGGCGTGTGGTCCGAGGACAACTACGCCCCAGCGCGCCACGTCGGCGCCGTCCACCCGCGGGCGCGAGCGCCGGTGTCCCCGGATGCGGCGGTCTACCCGAACCGCGTCGGCGACCCGGTGCTCGTGTCCACCTACTCGCGCAGGTACAATGCCTTCTTCTACTGCAACGCCGCCGCCTTCGTCTCGTCCCTGGTCGTCATCATGTTCCTGCTGGACCGCCGCATCAGCGGCAACCGAGCCGGCCTAGCCGTGCTCCGCATCGCCATGCTGCTCGACCTGCTTGCCCTCATGGCCGCCTTCGCCGCGGGGAGCTGCCGTGACGTGGTCGCCTCCATCTACGTCTCCGCGCTCTTCGCCCTCGTCTTCGCCTGCGTCGCCATCCTCGTGGTCGTGGAGAGACTCTGCAAGGAGCCGCCGGACTCCGGACCTTTCTCGATCACGGTAGAGAACCTTAACCTCAAAGAGCGGCGCAAGATGCTGCTGCTGCTCGCCACCTTCGCGACGCCGCTGACGTACGCCGCGGGCCTGGCGCCTCCGGGAGGCTTCTGGAGCGAGAGCGTGGCCGAGCACCACGCCGGCGCGCCGCTGCTGCACGATGGGCGCTACAAGATCCGCTACCACGCATTCTTCTACGCCAACGCCAACTCCTTCGTCGCCTCCCTCGTCATCATCATGCTGCTCATGAGCAGGACGCTGAGCGACCGCCTCACCCGGTACCACGCGCTGTTTGTGTGCGTCATGGTGGAGCTGCTGGGCCTCATGGCCGCCTACGCCGCCGGGAGCTGCAGGCGGCCCACCACGACTGTGTACGTCGTGTCCCTCGTCGGCGCCGTGCTCCTCTACATTGTGCTGGTGCCGGTGTTCACCTTGGAAGCATTCAGGGGACGGCGGATATCTCGGATCACCACGTACGTGATCAAGCTCAGACACACTCCGCTAGCTTCGTTTCCATAATTATTTTTCTCCATATAATTAGTTGAGCTAATTCATGTCACTTGGATTGTAAAGTGAAAGGAGGACAACCCCCGTCCATGATGGGCAGGAAGAGAAGCTGGAGCAGTCGCGGTCGCTGGTTCTGCTGATGGCCACGTTGGCGGCGACGGTGACCTACCAGGCAGGGCTGAGCCCGCCGGGCGGCGTCTGGCCGGAAGGGCATCCGGATCACACCGCGGGGAACCCGGTTCTCCAGGACATGCACCCCACGAGGTACAAGGTGTTCTACCACTGCAACACGGCGGCGTTCGTGGCGTCGGTGGTCGTCATCATCATCGTCCAGAGCAAGGAGCTGAGCGCCGCCGGGCGCTTCGCGCTCAACACGGTCATGATACTGGACCTGTTCGGCCTTATGGGCGCCTACGTCGCCGGGAGCTGCCGGGATAACACCACCACCATCTACGTGTCCGCCCTGGCCGTCACCATCTTTGTCTACATCATCGCCAAAGTCGTGGCGTTCGCGGTTGGAGGCCGGGAGAGCGAGCCCACACGGTGGGCGCAAAGAATGTGGGGTAAGGTTGTACAAGCGTTGCTCCGCCTGTCGCGGCGGCAAGGAGGAGAAGCAACTCATTCTCCGGCCTCCGAGTCCGAGAGGAAGCGTATTGAAGAAAAAGCGCTCGAGAGGAGGCGTAAGTTCTTGCTGCAGCTCGCCATCCTCGCCGCCACCGTCACCTACCAGACCGGACTGAACCCTCCCGGCGGGTTCTGGCCAGAGACAGAGAGCAACGGCGAAAGATCGCTAACCGCCGGCGACCCGGTTCTCCTCGACCACTACGGGAGCAGGTATGAGGTGTTCTTCTACTGCAACGCCACGGGCTTCATGGCGTCCCTCGCCGTCATTCTCATCCTGGTGAACCAGAAACTATACAAGAAGAGCATCCAGAGCAACGCTCTTCACATGTGCATCATCGTTGGGCTGCTCGGCCTCATGGGTGCCTACGCTGCCGGTAGCTGCCGGCTGCTGCGCACCTCAATCTATGTCTTCGCGCTCGTGGCCGCGGTGGTCGCGTTCCTCGTCCTGCAGATCCTCTTCTGGGTGTACGCCGACTGCCCACATTTGTCACAGAGGATATGCCTGAAGGGGCTGCTCGAGCAGCTGTCGCCGTCGTCGGCACCGATGGGGGCGGGCGACGAGGGCGAAGGCGACTGGCGTCAACAAGAACGATACCAACTGCGCAAGTCCCTGATGCTGCTCGGCATCCTCGCGGCGAGCGTGACCTACCAGGCGGGTCTCGCGCCTCCCGGCGGCACGTGGGGCGACGATGATACGGCGTCCTCCCCGTCGCCGTCGCCGTCGCTTTCACCACCGCCGTCGGCTGCATACCTGTCCCATGCCGGCAACCCGATCCTACTCGACACCAACCCGCAACGGTACCAGGCCTTCTTCTACTGCAACGCGACGTCGTTCGTGGCCTCCGTCGTGGTCATCATGCTGGCACTGCAGTACACCCTCAAGGAGCGCTTCGCCCCGCCGTGGGCGATGCATAGCCTGCAGACCGTCATGGTGCTGGACCTGCTCGGCCTGCTGGGCGCCTACGCCGCCGGCAGCTGCAGGGACTGGGAGACGTCCGCGTACGTCATCGCGCTCGTGGCCGCGGTGGTCGCCTTCATCACGATCTACATCCTGCTGTCATTTGACGAAGTGCGAGGGACGGCCGAGGAGCTCGCGGTGTGGAAGTACTTTTCTGGAAAGAAGGAAAAGGTGCTGAATTGCTTGGGAGCAAGCAATGATGATGATGATGATGATCAATCAGCCGCAACCGTAACGGTCACCCGTGTGTAACTAATTAGTTTTACTACTTGTTTACGTCCCTTTGATTTGCAATTTTTTCCTGATAATTCCCTTGATTTGCAGTGCTGCTAATCAGGAAATTTATGCCTGATTTTGATTGTACACTTTATGTCTGTGTGCTTCCTATGTGATCTATAAATTATGTTTGATTTGGCTTGGCTAGGATATGAACTATTTGAAATTTTAGTAGTAATTCTATTCAGTTGTTCAATTGTTTAGACTTTTTGCATGATAATACGTTTTTTACTCGAAATTTGCATAAGGTCATAGTAGAAGTAACATATTCATTGACCTGACAAAACTGAAAAGACAGTTGAACACTATATTTTATGCAAAGGAACATCAGCCAAGAAGAAAAAATACAATCAGAACAGTAAAACCCCTTGAGCTTGACACCAACGTCTGTCACCTGCCTCCTACACCACCACAGTAGCCACCAAAGGAAAAAAAATGACAAATCACCTCGTCACCCGAGCTTGGCGTGGCTCCATCGCTCATATGCAGCTTTGCAGACCTCCAAGATGGCTCACCAAAGGTGAGGTCATTGTCGTTGAAGGAATCAGACCGGGGCAACACACCAGACACATCATCGAACTCCAGATCTGACACCTCCGAATTACTAAGATGTCGGAGAAGGAAGCCATACCTGCCAGCCACGTTCCAGATGCTGCCAATGCATACCACAATCTGCATCCGCTCCTGGACTATCTCCCAAGCTCCGCGCCGGTGCTGAAGCAAAAGTCGTCACAACAGCGGAGCCCAAGGGCACAAGTCCACCATGAGAATGCCGCCACTGTCACGCCATCCTTATTTGAACAGACTGATTTCCAAATTCATGCCCAACCATAGAACCAATCGCCTCGTCGGGGAAGGATCTGAAGCTTCTTTATTCAGCGGCGACATCACTGCCGCCGAAGCCGAGAAGATGAACGACCCAAAAATCTAAGGTACTAAGGCCTAAACCTAAAGCTAAACGGCGAGGGATGAAAATACAGCGTGGCCCGATTGTTTTTCCACAGAGACACCAACTTTTTTAAGAAAAGACGCCAAAGGATATCCCAGATTTAATGCTTATATTAATTAAAACAAAAGTCAGCACAATGAAAACACAAATGAACATTTTCGTACATTGTATAAACTGTGCGGACATTATTGCTCAAACTTTTTTAAACTGTGCGGACATTTTTATACATTTTATAAACTTTTTTCTAACATATCATGAACATGTTTCTGAAATGTGTGAACATTTATTAAGTTTTATCGTATTTTTTAATACTAAACAAAATTTTATTTACACAAACATTTTTAAACATTGTATGAACGTTTTTAAAATGTTATGTACATTATTTTTGAAACACGTGACATTTTAAAATGTCACAACACTTTTTGGAATGCTATCAACATTTTTTAAAATTACATTAAAATTATTCTACCGCTGTTTTAGAAAATATGAACAAAAAAACTAACAAATAGAAAAACAGAGAAGAAAAATTAGCGCAAATGCATTAACAACTTGCACGGCACGTTAGCAGCGACGCCTGAGGCAAGATGGGCTTGTGTCTCGCTATAAGCCAGACAAAGCTGCTCCCCTATTTCTCGCCCATTGAGAGACCTAATTTTTTTTGAAGGAACAACACACTTTATTCAAACTTCAAGGTTCAAAGGAATACAAATATTGGGGGGAGGGTTACATAACCAAACATGCCAGGCAACCTCAAGTGAGGTCGCCATTCTAGCTAATTTGTGAGGCTCCTCATTACATGTGCGCTGCCCATGGCATTTTTTTTTTTTGCGGGATATCTTCTGTTGTTTTTCATGTGTAGATCTTTTACCAGCTCCAAGCAATCGGAAGCAACTCTAATCTTGGTAAGAGCCAGGTCTTCTCCCAGAGCAAAAGCTTCTCTGCAAGCATACTGGGCCAGTCTAGTACTGTAGCTGACGTGCAAGATTTTCCTCTATTTTTTTATCGTTTTTCTAACGTTCTTACCTAGTTTCCTTCCATTTTTTTCTTTTTTTCTTTTTTTTCGGGTTTCATTGTTTCTTTCTCCACTTTTCACCAACTTTCTTTGGGTTTTCCTATTTATTTATTTATTTATTTTCAACACGTGCCTAATTTTTTCATACATACCATACATTCTTCGTATATACCAGGAACATTTTTTACTCACATTTCCCATTTCCCAAACACATGATTAGCATTTTTTTTCAAACATATTTATATCATCAACTTTTTTTCATAGATAACAAATTTTTCGTATACAACTAAAAAAATTCTATACACATTTAACATTTCCAAATACATAATTACATTTTTCCAAATACATATTTTCAAACCTTTTTGGAGTGCGTGTTAAAAAATTTGCGAACATGTTGAATCATTTTTTAATGATGTGAAACATTTTATTTAAACTATGCTAACATTTTTACATTGTATAAACATTTTTCTTGAAATGTCATAACATATTTCTGAAACGAATGAACATTTTTTTAAACGTGTACACATTTTTTAATGGCACGAATTTGTTTTGAATTACACGAACATTCTTCTTTGCATTGTATAACATTTTAAAATGTAACATACACATCTTTGCATGGTACGAATCTGTTTTGAATTACACGAACAATCTTTTTTACATTGTATAACATTTTTAAAATGCAACATACACATTTTTGAATGGTACAAATTTGTTTTGAATTACACAAACAATCTTTTTACATTGTATAAAAAAAATTAAACGTAAAGTACACATTTTTGAATTGGTAAGAATTTGTTTTGAATTACACAAACAATTTTTACATTGTATAATAGTATTTTGAAAAATGTCACATACATTTGTTTGAAACGTGTGAACATTAATTAAACGTAACATAATTCTTTTAACTGTACAAACATTTTCTAAAAGTTTGGCGAAGATTTTTTTAAACTGCATGAACATTTTTAAGTGTATCGTGAGCACTTTGAAATAATTAAGTAAATTAGTCTTTTTGCAATATACTGTATGTATTTTTTTATTTTTAAAATATAAACAAAAGTGAAAAAAGAGCATGTGAGTACTAGGCCGGTGCACTGCCGGCAAATAGTGAGACATAGCCGCACCCTCTGCGTGGTGCTTATCATATTTGGCTTTTTTCGCAATGATTTGAAGTTGGAAACAAACTTTTAGGGACTCTGGCACGCCTATGTCTCTACGTGCTAGTGTTTTAGCCCTTTTGCGATGATTTCCTTTTTCTTTTTTCACTGCCTAGGTTGGACTGTTTCGGTGAAAGTCGTTTAAAATGGACCCTAAATTCTGTGATCAGTATGTCACTGTCTCATGAGCTAGGGCTTGGGCCTAGCTTAGGACAACATGATAGCAGGAAATAGGATAGGCAGAGCTTCTTACAGACAGAATATGATCATCTCTTTTCGCCAAACACACGCAAGACAGACAGAGCAAAGCCATGAAAATCCTGCAAAATGAAGAACCTGCAAAAGCAAAGACAGGAAAACTGGCCTGCAGAGGGCTAATTGTCAGGAAGGAGAGAGCATGATCATCCAGTCATCTGCATTCAGTTGTATATGCGAAGGAAATTTTGTTTACAGTAACCAACACAGTTGACAACAGGATGAAGCATGCCCAAACATCTGGGGAGTATACGGGCCTTCCACCCAGTGCACACAAAAAGCACTTTCTATAAAAAGCCAACTCACCTCTCTACATCTCCCCCTCTCTCAAAAAAGGGAGGAGTTCATCATAAATAACAAACCAATCCTATACATTTCAGTCAAGCCAAACCATGCAGACCAAGCTCCAATTCAGCAAGAATATCCACTCTACCAATACCTAGGGGCTAGTCCAGGGTACCAACCAACCCATCAAGCCCCAGCCAGCCCTTCATCATTCTTAAGAATGCAGTCGGTGCTCCCTTCCGGAGTCGTTCCGACGGAACTAGCCATCGAGTCTGGCCTAAATAGCTCCTCCTTTTCAAGCCTCAGAAGCATCTCTTTCGATTCACCTTTCAGCAGGGACACTACCTCAAGCATCGTCGGTCTCTTATCGGGTTCTCTGTGTGTGCACGCTAGTCCAATCAGCACCACCCTTTTTAGTTCAGACTCAGAATACTTATCATTGAGTTTTGAGTCCGCGATTTCATCGTATCTACCCTCTTTCGCCAGCGGGAGCATCCAGTTTCGGACCCCGAGCATTTTCTGGGAGCCTGATTTTTCTACTGGCTTTCTCCCACTAGTGAGCTCCAGAAGTATTATGCCAAAGCTGTAGACATCACAACCTGTTGTAGGCTTGCCAAACATGACGTACTCAGGAGCATGATAGCCTCGTTGGTTTTCACCGATAATCTTATCATGATCTATTTCATCTGAGATGAGCTTCATAAGACCAAAGTCACCGACGTGTGCTTGGAAATCCGAATCAAGTAACACATTGGTCGATTTGATGCTTCCATGGATTATCGGAGGTGTCTCATGGTGGTGAGGATACCTGCAAGAAAGCACCCATGAGGTTATCTCAAACTGCTTACCGGAAGTAAAAACGAAAGAATTATCTATGTCATGCTACTACGAACAAAGAAGACGTTTACTCACGCAATAGCCCGAGCAGCACCAATGGCAATAAATGTTCTCCGCCGCCAGTCAAGAAGGCACTCCGAAGAGTGTGTTCCGTGGAGATGTGCAAAAAGACTTGAGTTCGGCATATAGTCATACACCAGAATGCGTTCAGGCCCATCAGCACAATATCCCCGCAAACTCAGGAGGTTTTTGTGCCTTACTCTTCCCAAAGATTCGACTTCTGAAGCAAACTCCATTTCTGTCCCATTTCTTGCATTCTTTAACTTTTTAACAGCAATCTGCATCCAAAGATATTTATCAAAAATTAACTTGACTAAAAACTATCGGTGTAAGCAGAGTTAACATGGTAAGAGCAGAACTGGTGCACCTTTGAAAATATGTTATTTTAGGGTGGTCAGTGAGTGATTTCTTTAATAAAAAACAGACGTGTGACGCAGTAGTTGGGGCCAAGTCAGGGCATGTGCTGGACTGTTTTTTCTATTCAGCAGATGTATACTTGCAAACCTGTAGCAAGTTGTCTAAGTTGACCTGCCTACGAGAGGATATCCTACCTAACGAATGCTACCGCAATCAAAGATCAGTGTTCCAGAGCAGACTAAAGTAGTTATAAATGACAATTGGTTGTTGTTTAGTTAGGCAGCTATCGAATAGCATTTGCCCAACTGTGCAAGTAAAGCAATGAACTACTAGCCCAACTAGACAGCAAGGAACATCAAGGCGATAAAGCTGGCATTCTTCTTCCCATCATGGGAAAGGGAATTGGGAAATGTATAGAATGGATCAGCATGTAGAGAGCAGTAACCTGAGAGCCATCCCAAACTTGTCCCCAGTAGACGCTCCCAAGCGAGCCTTCTCCGATCTTGTTGTCGTAATTGAATCTATTTGTCGCCGACTGGAGCTCCCTCAGCGAGAACACCCACCTGATGGATCCATTCCGCTCGTCGTTCCTGAAAAAACAAAGCCGTTAGTTACATGGTGAGCATGAACTCTCCTGGTACAGAATCAGAGGTCCAAGTCAGTTCCCGTTTTCAACCAATGACAATTCACTCGTGCTCCTAAATCCTGAACCAATCCTGCCTAACTCCCAAGAACAGAAAATCAGAGGAACGCTACATCGAAGTAACATCCCATCCCAATTATCGTTCTATGTCCATTTGTGAGCATAATACACTTGGCTTCGGTCTGGGACAACAATTGCGAAACTGTTAGCATCGCAAAGAGACAAGAGGGCTTAAACAAGGGACAGATGCGTCCTCCAACGCCAAACTAACACAGCACGTTTTGGACCTTCCGGAGATGAGATTCGCCCCCAATCGCGTGCCGTAGCATCTACTTGCCCAGTCCCGACGAGCCTCACCGGCCGCCGCTGCTCCTACAAACCAAACCAGGCCGGACCAAGACTCTTTCAAAGCGAAATTGAGCAGCGCCTCAACAGAATTACTCGTCCCAGGGCGCCGTGGGCGGCACCCTCGCGTAGCACAACCTAGCCAGACAAGGCGGCACGGCGAAATTCCCACCCAGGTTAGAGCGAGCGAACTCGAATCGAGGGTGCTCACGCGACGCGCCGATCGAACTCCGCGCCCCGCCGAACTCGCCGACGAGGCCACCCAGGTCGAAGCGAAAGCGGGGACGGGGGGAGAGCTTTGGTGTCGGTATACTTACAGATCGTCCCCGGAGGCTTGCCTGCCGCAGCAGAGGACCCTGTGGGCGACCCGCGAGAGCCGGTGGTGCATCGGTGCCCGCCCGCCCGCGCGCGCGCGCCGGCCGGTCTCCTGCCGCTGCCGCGCCTCCCGTGCCCCGGCGTGAACAGATTTGGCGCGCCCGCGCGCGGAGGGGGGAGCAGTCGTCGCTTGGAGGGTAAGGAATGGCGTGGTGGACTGGTGGGCGAGGCGAGGGGAGGAGGAGGAGGACTTGTTGGAGAGCCAGGACGTGACAGCCTCGCAGCCTGGAGTCCTGGACTTGCGGTGATCTGGTGTGGTGGGCTGGTGGCTTTGCTCCCCTGCCCGCTTTCTTGACCCGTCGGTGTTGGCGTTGGTACGCGTGGTTGCCGTGCGGTCGAGAGAAACCGCGTTGCGCTTGCGCCACCGCGGCGCCGTTAAGGCGGCCTCCGCTGACAGCCCGATGGGGCTGGCGGCGGCCAGTGGCTAGTACGTACTGTTTGGGCTGGCAGGGGACGCACTTTCCATTCTAACCGGACTGTTGACCCCGGTCGGCGGGGTTCGGTTTACGGCGCCGCGCCCGTCCAACCCCCCGCGCCCGTCAAAACAAAAGAAGGTTTGCGATGGCTTGTTTATTTTGGAAGATTTATGAGGTAATAGCATCCCAGGTACCCTAACTTGCATTCAATGTGATGATTTAGTTTCAAAGTTGCAAAACTTGACCAAACTATACCCCAACTTGCACCTCATGTGATGATTTAGTCTCAGTTTTGCAGAAAACCTCCTGCCGTTTCCAATTATCAACTCGCAGTCACCCCCACCTGAATTAAATCTGTCGACGGCGCCCCCACCGCCACCGCTGCGGACGCGGATGCCACGCTCGGCGAGCTCGCCTCCAACCTCTGACGCGTACGCCGACGCCAACGCCACGATGCGCTGCTCACGCAGCAGTTCCCGGTCCGCCCCAAATCCCAGGCCCATGCCCTCGACTGCGTCATGGCCATCAAGCTGTTGGAGGAGCACCTCATCCCGCGCTGCGTCGAGTGCCTCGCCAGAGGCAAGGCCCCCGTCCCCGGCAAGACCCCCGACTCCTCCACCTCCTAGCCGGACAGCAGCCCCGACAGGGACGACCCGGACCCGGTCGCGGCCGCCACCGAGGCCCTCGCCAAGGTCGACCTCTCCGACGACCGACACCACCGCCACCGCCAAGTCCGGCTCCAGCAAGCCCCGTCAGGCAGCCAGAGGCGGCGGCGGTGACGTGGGCAAGTCACTCGACTACCTGTACCGCGCGTGCAGGATCGCTCGCCGTGCACATCGACATCGCCGTCTCCGTCCTCTCCCTCTTCATGGAGCCCAAGAAGCTCGCCAGCCTCGCTGAGTGACGCGTACGTGAGTCATCTTGCTCTGTTATGTTTCTAGCCGTGGAGGATTTACTGCTAGTAGTGTTTAGTGGTTTGGATGAGTGATTTGGGTAGTCGTTTAGTTCAATAGAGGTTCAGATGAGAGATGAGCACTGTGTTCTGTACTTCTGATTGCATTATGTGGCACCGAATGGTTGTTGCCTAGCTTATCCAGTGCGACTTGAATGAATTTTGGTGCGAATTTGGTTGATCTTCTTGTGCTTTGTTCCGACTGTTTGTTCAACTTCTGTTGTTGCTTGTGCTAATTTTTTTCCTGCATGCATCAATTACTGTTTAGATGGCTCAATTCACTTTCAGTTTTTACTCTGAATCATCCTATGCATATAAGGAATGTTGTTCAGTTGTTAGAATTTTGTTTGAAAAGCGTGAGGGTTTGATGATCAGGCACAGGACCGGATGCCACAAACTCACTGCAATGATCATTTCGTTCTTCTATTATGATATACTCCGAAGTACTGCATATTTATGTGTTTTGTCAGTCCCCTGGAGGTCCTGCAGGCGGTGCTGGAGTTGCAGGAGGCGGTCGCGGTGTCCTGCGGGCTAAATTGCTAACTGAATGTCTTTGTCAGTCCCCTTTCGGTTATGGCTCATGAACTTAATTACAGTGTTCATCTTGTTTCTGTTCTGTTAAGGTGTGCATGATTGATCGACTGCATGTTCTGTTTTTGCACCGTGGATCATGTAGGACGAATGTCATTCAGATACAGGATCAGCCTTACTGAAACTCTTTGATATTCTCGCCTTTTCGGTTTTGACTGATGAACTCACCTCGGTTAAATTCTAGCTTATGACAGAAATGTTGGTAGCTGCGCTAAGCTTTAGGATTTTATCAGTACTTAGGATTGATCAACTACAGAACCTGACTAAAGTTACTTTAATTGTGTCCCATCAAACAGTTTTTGGAGAGTTGGTTGCTGGGCTAAGTTAGTTTCTGTTGGTTGCTAGGCAATTTCCTAGTTGTGTCTGATCAAGCAGTTTTCTAGAGTTGTGCAAATGCAACTTAATGTTGGTCAGGTTCTGTAGAATTATGCACTGATAAACTTGTCATCGTACATGGTCTTTATTTATCGTGTTACCACTCTCGTTTAAATGCATTTGTTTTTGGAGACAAGGCAGTGAAAGGAGGTGCAGAGTAACATGTTTTAGATTACATGCATGTTAAGTACACAAGCCCTACTTCGCATTTTGCCCAGCGACGTTGCCTCTATACCATGTTTTAAACTGCTAATTCTGCTGTATATGCCCTTCCTAGGGTCATTAATATGTGAATCACAGAATATGAGTAGTGTTGTATTCGAGCTCTGAATTTCGTACAGTAGAGCACACACACATGACACATGTACAAGTAGAGTAATTCGTACCGTCGTGCTCACCTCGGTCGCCGACGCGGCCGACGTCGCCCTCATCGGAGTCATCGTGGTGTACATATACTGGAAGCTGCGCGACCGGCGCGGGGACAACGACGACGAGGACGAGGAGGGGCGAGGGCTCTTCGCCTGCCAGTGCATACACGCAAACACCTGCGGGGACTCGTCGGACAGGTCCGACGCGGGCGGCGGCGAGAAGAAACCCGGCAACGGTTCCGGGGGCGGAGGCGGCTGCGAGGACGGGGAGCTGGTGGCAATCGACAAGGGGTTCCGGATGGAGCTGGACGAGCTGCTGCGGTCGTCGGCATACGTGCTGGGGAAGGGCGGGAAGGGGATCGTGTACAAGGTGGTGGTGTGGTAGTGGGCAACGGGACGACGCCAGTGGCCGTGCGGCGGCTGGGCGGCGGCACCGCGGCCCCAGAGCGGTACAAGGAGTTCGCGGCGGAGGTCGGCGCCGTCGGGCGCGTGCAGAATGCCAACGTGGTGCAGCTGCGCGCCTACTACTGGTCGCCCGACGAGAAGCTCGTCGTCACCGACTTCATCAACAACGGCAACCTCGCCTCCGCGCTGCGCGGTACGTAACATCCTCTTCTATACAATTCGCGCTCTTTTTTCCAACGGTTTGCTCTGCTCTGAAGAACAGAATGGGTTGATAATTGGAAACGGCAGGGGGGTTTCTGCAAAACTGCGTGCGCCGACCTGTCCAGCCACTTGGCAGCCAATTGGCGAGTTGTGATTGGCCTGGGACTAAATCATCACATGAGGTGCAAGTTGAGGTATGGTTGAAGGAAATATGCCCTAGAGGCAATAATAAAATTATTATTTATTTCCTTATATCATGATAAATGTTTATTATTCATGCTAGAATTGTATTAACCGGAAACGTAATACATGTGTGAATACATAGACAAACAGAGTGTCACTAGTATGCCTCTACTTGACTAGCTCGTTAATCGAAGATGGTTATGTTTCCTAACCATGAACAAAAGAGTTGTTATTTGATTAATGGGATCACATCATTAGAAGAATAATTTCATTGACATGACCCATTCCATTAGCTCAGCACCCGATCGTTTAGTATGTTGCTATTGCTTTCTTCATGACTTATACATGTTCCTATGACTATGAGATTATGCAACTCCCGTTTGCCGGAGGAACACTTTGTGTGCTACCAAACGTCACAACATAACTGGGTGATTATAAAGGAGCTCTACAGGTGTCTCCAAAGGTAAATGTTGGGTTGGCGTATTTCGAGATTAGGATTTGTCACTTCGATTGTCGGAGAGGTATCTCTGGGCCCTCTCGGTAATGCACATCACATAAGCCTTGCAAGCATTGCAACTAATGAGTTACCTGCGAGATGATGTATTACGGAACGAGTAAAGAGACTTGCCGGTAACGAGAGTGAACTAGGTATTGAGATACCGACGATCGAATCTCGGGCAAGTAACATACCGATGACAAAGGGAACAAAGTATGTTGTTATGCGGTCTGACCGATAAAGATCTTCATAGAATATGTGGGAGCCAATATGAGCATCCAGGTTCCGCTATTGGTTATTGACCTAAGACGTGTCTCGGTCATGTCTACATTGTTCTCGAACCCGTAGGGTCCACACGCTTAAGGTTTTGATCACAGTTATATTATGAGTTTATGCATTTTGATGTACCGAAGTTTGTTTGAAGACCCGGATGTGATCACGGACATGACGAGGAGTCTCGAAATGGTCGATACATAAAGATTGATATATTGGAAGCCTATATTTGGATATCGGAAGTGTTCCGGGTGAAATCGGGATTTTACCGGAGTACCGGGAGGTTACCGGAACCCCCCGGGAGGTATATGGGCCTTAGTGGGCTTTAGTGGAAGAGAGGAGAGGTGGCCAGGGCTGGGCCGCGCGCCCCTCCCCCCTTAGTCCGAATAGGACAAGGAGAGGGGGGCGGCGCCCCCCCTTCCTTCTCTCTCTCCTCTTTCCCCCTCCTGAATCCTATTCCAACTAGGAAAGGGGGGAATCCTACTCCCGGTGGGAGTAGGACTCCTCCTGGCGCACCCTCCTCCTGGCCGGCCGCACCTTCCCCTGCTCCTTTATATACGGGGGCAGGGGGCACCCCTAGACACACAAGTTGATCCACGTGATCATATTCTTAGCTGTGTGCGGTGCCCCCTTCCATCATAATCCTCGATAATATTGTAGCGGTGCTTAGGCGAAGCCCTGCGATGATAGTACATCAAGATCGTCACCACGCCGTCGTGCTGACGGAACTCTTCCCCGACACTTTGCTGGATCGGAGTCCGGGGATCGTCATCGAGCTGAACGTGTGCTAGAACTCAGAGGTGCCGTAGTTTCGGTGCTTGATCGGTCGGGCCGTGAAGACGTACGACTACATCAACTGCGTTGTGCTAACGCTTCCGTTGTCGGTCTACAAGGGTACGTAGATCACACTCTCCCCTCTCGTTGCTATGCATCACCATGATCTTGCGTGTGCGTAGGAAATTTTTTGAAATTACTACGTTCCCCAACAGTGGTATCAGAGCCTAGGCTTTATGTGTTGATGTTATATGCACGAGTAGAACACAAGTGAGTTGTGGGCGATATAAGTCATACTGCTTACCAGTATGTCATACTTTGGTTCGGCGGTATTGTTGGACGAAGCGGCCCGGACCGACATTACGCGTACGCTTACGCGAGACCGGTTCTCCCGACGTGCTTTGCACAAAGGTGGCTAGCGGGTGACAGATTCTCCAACTTTAGTTGAACCGAGTGTGGCTACGCCCGGTCCTTGCGAAGGTTAAAACAGCACCAACTTGACAAACTATCGTTGTGGTTTTGATGCGTAGGTAAGATTGGTTCTTGCTTAAAGCCCGTAGCAGCCACGTAAAACTTGCAACAACAAAGTAGAGGACGTCTAACTTGTTTTTGCAGGGCATGTTGTGATCTGATATGGTCAAGACATGATGCTAAATTTTATTGTATGAGATGATCATGTTTTGTAACCAAGTTATCGGCAACTGGCAGGAGCCATATGGTTGTCGCTTTATTGTATGAAATGCAATTGCGCTGTAATGCTTTACTTTATCACTAAGCGGTAGCGATAGTCGTGAAAGCATAAGATTGGCGAGACGACAACGATGCTACGATGGTGATCAAGGTGTCGCGCCGGTGATGATGATGATCACGACGGTGCTTCGAAGATGGAGATCACAAGCACAAGATGATGATGGCCATATCATATCGCTTATATTGATTGCATGTGATGTTTATCTTTTATGCATCTTATCTTGCTTTGATTGACGGTAGCATTTTAAGATGATCTCTCACTAATTATCAAGAAGTGTTCTCCCTGAGTATGCACCGTTGCGAAAGTTCTTCGTGCTGAGACACCATGTGATGATCGGGTGTGATAGGCTCTACGTTCAAATACAACGGGTGCAAAACAGTTGCACACGCAGAATACTCAGGTTATACTTGACGAGCCAAGCATATACAGATATGGCCTCGGAACACGGAGGCCGAAAGGTCGAGCGTGAATCATATAGTAGATATGATCAACATAGTGATG